TAAAGGGTCCCAGAAATTTCCCGATGCCTTGTTCTCTTCTTTCTGGATGCAAAGCCTGGCGTTTTAAGAGGGCCAGGTGAGAGAAATCCCTGAACCCAAAGGAAAAAACCTTTTCTGCGGTGGCCTTCTGGGGACCTGCATGGCTTGCTCACTTAGTGTGTGTAGACTGTCTCTGTGTTCTTATCAGGACAAGTCTGAGCCCCCTTAAGGTATGGCTGTCAGACGGAAGCTGAAAGAACAAGGTCTGGCTGTGGGCATATGTGGCCTCAGAAGGACCTCGCATATTCTCTCTTCTTCTCAGAGGACGGTCATGGTGAAACCAGCTGCTGTGAGGCTCCTCCGAGTTCCTCCTTCTTCCCGACACCCACCCTCTGCACTTGCCTCAAGTCCACGTACTGGGCTCAGCATTCCCCTAGAGCTCTCTGGACTCCGAGTGGCCAGTGCAGGTGGCCCTGGACCCGTGCCAGGCCTGGGAGGGTTGGGGGGAGGGCAGGAGTTCTCTGCTTCTCGTCAGTGTGTTGCAATCCGTTGTACTTTGCCTGGGTCAATAGGCAGTTGCTGTGTGACAGCGGCATCTCTGAGGTGGCTGCCTTTCATGTTGCCAAGAAACCCTGAGTCCTGGGGATGTCATTTGCTTCAAGTGGCATGGAGGAGTGGAAGCACTTGGGGTTGGGTATCTGAACATGGGTCCAAGGATGCTGCTGTCCTGGGCCTTCAAGCCTCACCTGTCAAGGGGGACAGATAATGACAAGTGCTCTCCACACAAGGTCTCGTGATGATGCTCTAGGTTCGTGCTTGTGTAAGATCCTCGTCGACTCTCCCACGGACTCTGAAGGCTGGGATGGGTCCTATTCCTTTCCATGTGCCCAGCGCCAATGGCACCCGGCTGACTCCAGTGTTTGTTGACTGAGTGCAAGGATGGGCAGGAAGTACAGGGCACGAGAAAGCCTGAAAAATTCAAAACTACCACGAACCTCTTCAACCACGAAGAAGCAGATTCCGTGTGTGCTCCCATATCTACCCGAGTTTAGGTGAAAGTGGAATGGGCGAGCATTTGTGAGGAAATATTCTAAAATGAAAATGAACTGAAGGGATATTGCCCTTCCCACCTTTCCCTTCTCATCACTTCTTGGCAGTGCGTTTGCTGCCGGATACTTTCCGGGGGAGTCATGAGAAATGATAGGTCATTACTTTCTATGCCCCATCTATTATTGATACATTTCAGATAAAAGGGCCCTTTCCACCAGGGGAATGTCTTTGTTTCCTATTCTTCTGTGCCTACGCTCCAGAAGAGAACTGACTTTGAAGTCAGATTATTCTCATTTTAATCCCGACTCCCCCGCTTTCTGCCCCCTTGACCTCCGGTTAGCCATGTACTCTCTCCAGGTCTCAGTCTCTTTATCTGCAAAGCGGGGATATGCGGTGGCTATGACCATGCATGTGCTTTGAAGCCCTCCAGTGGAGTCCTTACTATCCACCTTCAGCAGATAAGGAAACAGAGAAAGTAAGTGGTCAACCAGACACTGATGGCTTTGGGACTGAAACTCTCCTGGTGCTTTGGAAACTTGGGATTGTTGGATTCTATTCAGACTCTGCTCCCGGGGGCAGCCTCTTAGCAAACTGACATCAGGAACTGGTCTGAGAAAGATCTTTTTCAGGTCCAATTCTGCTCAGCCTCAGGAATGCAAGAAGTCCCGGAAACATCCGTGATGCAAGTCAGTGAAGGAGGCCCAGTGGCAGCTGACCTCTGAGCTCAAGGCTGTCACTGGGCTTCCTCCTCACATCTCGTCACCTGACACTGTGAAGGATGTTCCCTAAGTAGGTTATCAAACCCCTGAAGCCGGGAGGGACTCTGACTTAGCCCCACCAGAGCTTGGCGCCTCCTGCTGACTTGGCATTAAATAAATGCTTGTCACTGAGGGTGGTGGGGTTTTGGATGGGCCTTTTGTTTAGAGTCTGAAGGAGTTAACAACAACAACAACAACAACAACAACAACAACAACAACAGAAAACAAACATTTGCTCTAGGCCAGGCGCTGTGCCAAGAAATGGAGATCCAACAATCAAATACAAGCTTTCAGACTCCCAGGGATCTCCAGGCTTGTGGGGAGACGGGCATGCCTCCCTCCTTGTGGGGGAGGCAGCTTTGAGCTGAGATTGAGGAGGGTGAGAGTCTCCCAGGCAGATGAAGGTGGGGAGGGGGCTCCCGGCCAAAGGAACATCCATGGACTGCGGAGGCATGACCAGAGCATTGCTGTGTTGGGGCACGCCGTTGAGGGCCGCTGGAGTGCCTGGCTCTTTCCCACTGAGCACCCCTCACCCACATTGTATGTATGGTTTCGATGTGCCAAGGTCTCCTCCTTTTATTCCTCATTCAATCAGCGTATTGTGTGCCAGGCACCGTACAAGACACTGGGGTACAGAGGTGAGAGGGTAGACCTGGGTCCTGCCTTCCTGAAGCTCTAAGTCCAATGACAAGTAAACAGCCCAGTGAGTGTGGACCAGAGGGACCTAACCTAGCAAGGGAGAGGGGCGTATGAGTTTCTTATTGCTGCTGTAACAGATTGCCGTCATCTTAGTAGCTTAACGCAATGCATATTTATTATTTTGTGATTCTGGAGTCAGAAGTTCCAAATCTGTCTCATTGGGCCAAAATTAAGGTGTCGGCAGGGCTGGATCCTTCTGGAGCCTCTAGGGGAGAGTCTGTTCCTTGTCTTTTCCGGTTTCTAGGAGCTGATTTCATCCCTTGGCTTGTCACCCCTACTTCTTTTCTTACATGTTTTCTTTCTCTGACCCTTCTGCCTCTCTTTTGTGATTACATTGGGCTGACACTGGTAATCTGGGATAATTCCTTATCTCTAGATCCTTAACTTAATCACATTTGCAAAGTTCCTTTTGTGATGTAAGGTAATGTAGGCGGCGGGTCCAGGGATTAGGATGTGAACATCTTCAGGAGCCATTATTCTGCCCACCACAGAGGGGACAAGGGAGAAGGGGGGGAGGTGCTTCCAGAAGTAGTATTTAATCCCAGCTTTGTCAAAGGTGGGTCCGTGTGGAGGCAGGGGAGGTCGCTTAGGAAGCTGCTGGATTGGCCCAGGCAAGCCGTCGTGATGACCCCCACCATGAGGTTGGTTATCCTGGGAAAGGTGAGAGAGAGGCACAGGGGACTGAGAGGCAGCAGGGAGGGTAATGAGTGGGAAATGTGGGGGCAAGGTTGAAAGAAACCTAGACAAGACGTACTTCAGTGTCAACAAAGGTTAACAGGAACCTGAAAGTCGTGTTTTGCGGGGAAGGACTAGCAAGAATATGATGCCCACGGTACTGATTCGGACTCTAAAATCTTTCAGTGAGAGATTCCAGACGGTTTTGCATTCAGTGAGTCAGAAGGAAATCTAACATTTTACGATTTTATTTGCTAGAATCACGTCCAATTAAAGGCTGATGTTCTGTTTGGTTTTCAAAGAGAAAAGCTGATTTTGAGGCTGCAGGAGGAAAGGCAGGTATTTGCAGACCTGGATTCCTTGAGGTGGCCATCCTTCTGGCTGGGTGTCCTCAGGGTCATCGGTGCTCTGCACAGGGAGGGAGGGACATTGCGTGCTTTTGTTTGTCTTGAGTTTCCCAAGGCAGAGAGCGAGCAGTCCACTCTCTTGAGTGGGACTGTTTGCTCCACTTAGGTAATTACCTAATACCATCCCCTAATACCTTATTTACACAACAGCCAGGCTGCTCTATGACAGAGGCCATAATAAGCGTTTGTGTAATAAAGGCAGAGCAAAATCGAACGCGTTGCTGTTCACTGCTGCACAAGACAGATCTCCAAAGTGCATGATAGCGTCGTGTGTGCAACACGACCCTGCTCTTCCTGCCATTCTAGAAAAGCCTCCAGCTTCACAAATTTATTTCCAGGGTAATGAGATTGCCCTTCTAGAGACCAGGGACCTTTGAGAATTCGATGTGTTCTCAAACCGAGGGGAAATTTCTTTTCCAAAGGCTTCTTACTGGAGGAAAACAGACACAAAATTCGGTCACTAAAGTCATTGCATTTTCTGTTGAGAAATGTGCTTAGAATCTATTTTATTATTCTTATATTTTTCTAGGAAACCAAGTTACTTGACATGCACATCACTTATTGTTTACTTCCCTCCATCCAGTCCCCTGTTTTTTTTTTTTTTTTCCACTTTGGTCATCTTCTGAAACCCAAACTTTCTTTTAAAGATTTTTTATTTATTTATTCGACAGACAGAGATTACAAGTAGGCAGAGAGGCAGGCAGAGAGAGAGGAGGAAGCAGGCTCCCAACTGAGCAGATAGCCTGATGTGGGGCTCCATCCCAGCACCCTGGCATCATGACCTGAGCCGAAGGCAGAGGCTTTAACCCACTGAGCCACCCAGGCACCTCTGAAACCCAAACTTTCTTTACTGTGTCTGAGTTTTGACTCGTCTGCCTGATAGCAAGCTTGCTCTTCTTCCCTTTGTTTTGTGACCAGGACCGGATGAAAGGGACTCTGAAACTCACTAGACGTTCATCTCCTCTTTGCTCTTGGTGTCCTCCGTCCTCAGTGGGTAGACAGAATAGCTGGGCATCCGTCTCCTATTTATTCCCTCTCCAAGTTGCACAGTGTGTCTGTTGTTCAAATATGATGGTCTGTCCTGCATCTTACACATTGTTTTTCCGAGGAAGCTTGAGAGAAGAGATGAATTATAAACCATGGAGACCTGGTTTTCAAAATTGAGCCCTTGCAGAGAAATGTAAGAATGTTGAACTCAGTTACTACTCCTTTTTTGAAACCCCCGAACTCCTGGGGCTCCTTTTCCAAGAACTCAAATAGGCACCTCACCACTGATCAGATTCCCTCGCTGCCCAGCCTGGTGAACCAGGTTTTCAACCTCCCGTTTGAAAGCTGGCTTGAGAAAGACATCTGTGCTTTGTTTCTGACAAGTCGTGTGTCTTGTATTTATCAACAAACTCTCTCTTCTCCTGTCCCCTGCCCTGTTTCTCAGTGGCCGTTCCGGCAGCAGCGCCCCCCGTGGGCCAGCCCAAGGGTGCCACTAACGGGCCCTACGCCACCCCGCGCCTCTCCATCTCCTCCCGAGCCACGGTGGTAGCCAGGATGGAAGGCACCTCCCAGGGGGGCCTGCAGACCGTCATGAAGTGGAAAACCGTCGTCGCGATCTTCGTGGTTGTGGTGGTCTACCTTGTCACCGGCGGTCTGGTCTTCCGGGCCTTGGAGCAGCCCTTCGAGAGCAGCCAGAAGAACACCATTGCCTTGGAGAAGGCGGAATTCCTGCGGGATCATATCTGCGTGAGCCCACAGGAGCTGGAGACGCTGATCCAGGTGAGCGGGGAGCGAGGCAGCCACAGCTGAAGGGACAGCTGCGGTTTTGCCCTTCGAGCTCACTAAGTTTGCTTCGGGTTGAGATGCTCCTGATGGTAGCGGTGGGTTATGGAGGGTCTCTCTGGGGAGGTGAGATTTGAGCTGGGACCTCAAAGGAGCCAGAGAGTGAGACATGCAATGATGGTCAGGAAGGGGGCCAGGCGTGCGGCAGCCTCGATGCGGCAATGTTAGGAGCAGGCTGGGTTTTGCATCACCTGCTTTTGGATGAGGTGGTTGGAGGCAGCAGTGGGCAAAAGGGCTTTGGATTTTCAAATTCAAGGCCACCTCTGTGTGCTGATTAGCTTCCTGGTTTGGAAGTCGGTGTAGGATGTTGGGCTAAGAGGGTGCTTTAAAAGCCAAAGAAGGAATTTTAAACAAGCAGGGATGTATTAACCTGCCCCCCCAACCGAGAATGGAGTAAAGATCGCCGGGGGTGGGGATGGGAGGCTGTTGGTAACTCAGCAGAGCCATTTTGGTGGGTTTATGGAGAAGAAATAACAAAAATAGCAGTAGTAGTAATGATCAGGATTGCTAGTTTGAACATATTGCATCCGGCACTGACTGAGGTCCTTGCAGACCTTGGATATTAAGAAAAAATATCCATAAACAGATGGAGGCGGAGACCTTTGAGCTACCATCTAGAGGAGCAGGGCAATGAAAGCGGGGATGGGGTGGTTGGGAGGGTCATGGGAGACAGAGTCTTCTTGGGTGGTGTGATGGGAGCAGATAAAACAGGAGGCTCCAGAAGCCTGGGAAGGGCAGGGAGCCTCGTCCCAGAGGGAGGAAGGGGAGTGGTTGGGAGCCCAGTTGGGGGGCTCCATTGTTCAGTAGATGGAGGATGGCTGCCTTGGAGACTGAGGTTTGAGTTCCTGTCCTGTACATGCTCCTGAACCAGGAAGTGTAGGTCCTGGTGGAAGGTGGTGACATATATGGAGGCAAGGGAGAATCACATTTTTCCAGGAACTCTGGAAAGTTTGCAAGGCAGAAGGATGAGAAAGAAAGCTCCTGTGACTCCTTCTGGTCTGGGGCTATGTGCATTAAATTCTAACGGCTACTATAATCCAGAATATTGCAGGATTGCAAGACTACCTGGTTATTTGTATATTTATTTCGAGGTACATTGATAGGGTATGGGGATTATGGGGCTTCTTATGATCTGGAACTTTCATAGCAATTTTATTTCTTTAAAGAAATTTTGATAATCTGACTTGACTCTTATAAATAATTAGAAATATACATTTCCCCACCCCTGGGAATAAATATGATTTCTTATCTATGATCCTATAATTTTTACTAAAAAGAAAATTTTAAATGCAAAAGTCTAAGGGCAGTATTTCATATTATTTTTTCTTAGACAGCTTTTTGTCTTTTTCTCCCTCTTTTCATGAGAAAATGGTATCAAATTTGCTATGATGAGGGGTATTGTACCAATCTGTGTCAGATTTAAGAACGTCATAGAAAATGAGGGAAACAATTCTGGAATACTTTTAAATAAGAATGGAGTTATACATGTTGTTGTGATATGCAGTGAGATCCTTTCTATTTAGTTGCAATACATAAAATAACCTAAAAAGTGGTCCAAATTGAATCTAGATTCATGCTTGGATTTTTCCTTTCTTAGACAGTGAGGTCTTGAGGAAAAGATTATGTCATATTATCTTCATATCTATGTGTAGCCTATGCATTGCTTTGTATCTAATTATTGCCTGGATGTATTAACCTGAGAAATCACTTTGGATTGAGATATCAAACTAAATGTATAACATTGGTGATACCACGAGATATCTGAGATTACTCATGCACTGTTTTATTTGTTTATGTATTTCCATTCTTTGGCTCTCTTCTTCATGAAAGAACTCAGAGGCCAGAAGGGACAGGAAGGGAGCATGTAGAGATTCTAATTCTAGTGCTGCCATTAAAATTTGTCCCCTGCTTTGGTCTCAAAAGTTGCTCTGGGAAATGAGGGTGTGTGTGTGTATGAGTGTGTGTATGCATGTGAACACACATGCATCTTTAAGATCATTTCTGTAATAATTTAAAAAAGCTACCCTGTATTAGACACGTGCCACAAGCCAGATACCTTACACTCATTATCTCATTTAATCATTCCAACAACCCTCTAAGTTGGCACTATTACACCCATTTTATAGGTGAGGAAGGCGATTCTAAAATAGCAGAGTAACTTCCCAACCCCCAATGTGGCCGAGCTGGGATTCAAAGTGAGGTCTGTTTGACCCTGCCCTTCCTCCCACAATGAGTCTATAAGGTCTTCAAGTGGTCTTGCTTTATCGTAAAATCAGCTCTCTCTTAAACATTTGCTTTGTGTTTAACGCTTGCCAGAATTTTAACAGAGTCAAGAAACATTGGAGTTCCCTGCTTCCTAACAGAAAGCATCTCTCTCTTCTCCCCACACTCACTGAGTGTGAGCCTTGGGCTTGGGATACTTTAAGATCTCTTGCCACTGTGATGTAAGGATTTATACGTGGGTTTATTTACAGTCTTTTTCATAACACAGGTTAAGCAGATTTAAATGCTGAGTCTGTGTTAATCAAGAACAACTTTATCATGGTTTGCCTTTCAGTTCACTGATTCCTTCCCAGGATGAAAATGTCCACACTTATGGACAAGGGGGAGCATTCTCTCACTTTCTGTGTCTGAGCAGCATTGTGTATAGTGCTCATAAGACACTTCTTGGAAGGGTTTTCAGCATTTTATGTTCCAAACTGGAAACATAGTATTATTGTACTTCACCAAAGTCTGGAAGGAGTGACTGACAGGTAAAAAAATGATATTGGGGCGCCTGGGTGGCTCAGTGGGTTAAAGCCTCTGCTTTCAGCTCAGGTCATGATCCCAGGGTCCTGGGATCGAGCCCTGCATCGGGCTCTCTGCTCAGCAGGGAGCCTGCTTTCCTTCCTCTCTCTCTGCCTGCCTCTCTGCCTACTTGTGATCTCTCTCTGTCAAATAAATTAAAAAAAAAAGATATTGATGGTATTTATCTGGTAATGTCAGGACCCTTGGCTGGATTGAGTGAACTACTCATAAGGTAAGCTAGAAGGTGTAATTCATGTTATTAATAACAAAAACAGAGTACCCAGAACCGCTTAATTCCCATGAAATGCCGTAGCTGAAAATGGCCATAGCTGGGGGAACGGTCTTCCAAAAGAATTAAACCACTGGTGTGGGGTGCCATGGGACTCCGGAGGAGACTGATGGGTCAACGTCCTGAACCTGATTGCTGTTATGGAGGGAACTATCTCATTGAGGAATTCATACATACATTCTGGAAGTTCCTATTGTGTTCCTGTGTTATCAGCTCACATGCGAGGTGCTGGGAATAGAAAAGAGAATAAAACACACCATGAACAAGTTACTAACCTCTCTGTGATCCAACTTCATTATCAATAAAACATGCCTAAAATCCCTCATCCTTGGGGTGTTGAGAGGATTACATTCTGTAATTCATGAGAAGGGCTTTGAACAATGTTTGGTAGGTGGTGAGAGCTAAAAAAAAAAAAAAAGATTGTTCTTTCTGCTGCAGCTGCTTCTGGTATTGTTCTGGGAGCTGAGTTTCAGGCAGTGGTTCTTTTTTTTTTTTTTTTTTAACTGTTTATTTAAATCCCAGTTACTTAACATAAAGTGTTTTATCCGTTCAGGTGTACAATATAGCCATTCAGCAGCTCCCTACATCCCCTAGACGTTCGTTCGAGGGGTTTAGCCCCCCAGGGGGCATCTGACAACATCTGGAGACATTTTTGGTTGTCGTGACTGGAGGGGGTGCTAAAGGGATGTGGTGAGCAGAGACCAGGGAGGCTGCTGAAAGTCCTGAGTGCGCGGGACAGCCCCCAGCCGAGCAAAGAATTAATTTAGCCAAATGTCAACAGTGCTGAGGTCAAGAAACTCAGAGAGAAGAGGCACATAAACCAACGGTGGGAATTTACTACGGTGGAGCTTCCCCCCAGTGTTATGGTGGTATAATTGACATACATCACTGTAAAGGCTTAAGGTGTACAGAAGAAAGGTTTGAACATATACTGTGCAATGAATACCGCTGTTTGCTTGGCATCCATCACCGAGTATAGACACAATAAAGAACAAAAGCAAAAAGCAAAAAAAACCCACAACATTTCTCCTTGTGGTGAGAACACTCAAGACTGACTCTCTTAACACTTTAACACTGTATCACACAGTGGTGTTAGCTATAGTCATCAGGCTGTGTTTTACATCCCTAGGACTTATGTGTCTTACAACCCAAAGCTGGTACCTTTTGACCACCTTCTTCTGATTCCCCCTACTTCTGCTTTTGGCTTCTGATCTCTTTTTCTATGAGTTTTTTTTGTTGTTTGTTTTTTTGTTTGTTTGTTTCTTGTGGTTTCTTGAAAATTATTTTATTTTATTTTTTAGATTTCCACATACAAGGGAGATCCTAAAGTGTTTGTCTTTCTCTGTCTTATTTTACTTAGCCTCATGCCATCAAGGTCCGTTCATACTTCACTGTGTCTATGTACTACAGCTTCTCTACCCACCCCTCTGTTGATGGGCACTTGGGTTGTTTCTGGGTCTTGTCTATTGTAAATAATGCTACTATGAGCATGAGGGTGTGTATATTTTTTCAAGTTAGTGTTTTTGATGTTTTTGGACATATTCCCAGAAGTGGAATTGCTGGCTCATATGGCCATTCTATTTTTAACTTTTTAAGGCTCTTCCATACTGTTTTCCTCAGTGGCTGTACCAGTTTGCATTCCCACCAGCAGGGCACAAGTCTTCTCTCTTCTCCATATCCCCACCCGCAGTGGTTGCCTCTTGTCTTTTTGATGATGACCGGAGTGGCGCTATTGGAAGTACATAAAAAATGCGGGCCTCAGCGAGGCAAATGGAGGTCAGGGAGGTTTTTGTGGCTATTTATCTCTTTTAGTCCTTACAACTATTCTAGAATGATGGTCTTTTGTGCCCATTTACAGATG